GTGGTCAGCACTCACACACTCATCACGAAACGGTTGATTTCCAAAGTCAACGACGCATCGACCGAAAGAACTGCTGATGAAGAACAATGAGGAGGACCACACAATGGTTGCTGCCGAGAAAACAGACGATCGCGTAGCACACATCGAGAGTGGCCTGCTTTTGTCGACAGCCGAGTGAACACTCAGTCTTAAACTATGTTAACCATCGATCGAGTTTCCACTTGCTGCAATTACGGCCTCCACACGCTTCCAGAATGCACGGCAGGTTTCTCTCCAGGTACGGGTCAATGTTTTTCTGAGGCTTGCTGTACTCGAGTGGCGTTTAGAACAGGCCTTGGCCTTCATGACGTGCCATATTGAGTAATCCAGCGAATTAAGAACGGGGCTGGATGGCGGCCACATATCCTTCGCCCAGAACGGAAGATGTTGCTACAACCACTTCTGAGTGCGGTTCGAGGTGTGGCACGAAGCCCCACCTTGTTGAAATACAACATTTGGCTTCGGACCGTACTGTTCTTTGATCCACGGAAGAACATACTTACTTAAAATCCCGATGTAGACCTCTGTGTTGGCCTTGTCGCCTTCTGGAATGAACACCGGGTCCATTTTTTTGCCATCGGAAGCCACCAATTCAAACACCATAACGCTAGCAGGATGCTTGGTCAGATACACGTTCTTGTCCTCGTCGGCCACGTATTTTACCGGAAGAGAACTAATATACCGGTCGGTTCTGGAATTTGATACGGGATCGACGGTAAACATGCTCTCGTCGGTGAACAGGATTACCGGATTTTTTCGCTTAAGGAAGTTCAAGATTTTCTTGCATCGTTCGACTTGTAGCTCCCGGATGCGGTTGGTAATCATGTGAATTTTTTTCCGTGCCCTCGACTTCTCCCCGCAATCTTCTTTTACGATCTTCCATGCCGTAAAGTCACTGATCCCGTGTTCTTTTGCCATTTTCCTTATTGAACGCACTGGATTCACCCGAATCTTCCTTTTGATAGCAGCGATAATCCTCGGAACCCAAGCTGACCTCGGATGATCTGTGGCCACCTTCGCGGATAGTTGTCCTTTCTTTTCTCGGTCTAAAACCCTTTTGACGGTCCGCCGGGACACTGCCACGGCGATTGAAATATCTTTTTGTGACATTTGCGCGTGGGACAAATCACGAATACGCTGCTGGTGCATTTGTCAAACTAAGTAAATCTTTTTCTTTTATTCACAGCCTATTACGGTATGAGCTATAGGTTACGTGCATGCAAAGAAAACCAAGGCACACTGGGCCAGAAATGCAATCTAGCGGAGCAAAATTAATAACTCCGAAACGAAGAATTTCCGCAACTTGGTGTCTTCGGCAAAGTTTCTCATCATAACAAGAACCATCTATTGACATAAACAAATAGTTCAAAACTCTTCCGCAAAGATGGCGCCATAATCTAACTTCTTTCTCTGACGATTTGGAGACTTGATGTCTTCGGCAAAGTTGTTTGCCTTGACAAAATAAACAACTCTTTTCAAGACGTAAAATTTCCACAGCCTACTGATTCCGAGTTATATGGAGTTAAAGAAAAAAATGTCGAAAATATGCTTTTTTCTTTCTGTTTCGGTTTTTTTGTAGACAACCACATAATGTTATATTTTTCTCTAACGCAAATGCTTTAAATAAATAACTTTTGTGAAGAAAAATACTGGTTTAAGCTTCAAATTTTAAAGATAATGTTGAAAAACCAAAAAAAGAACAACAATTTTTTAACTTTAATATCTCCCAAAGCGCAAAAAATCGCAACCTGACATTTTCAGCAAAAATTAAGCAATACTCGATAAACAAAAAATCAAAATTTGAGAGAGGTATATTTTGGTGTTTTTGAGATTTCATCATTTTAGTGGAGCATGTATTTTTTTTCTATAACTTGGCGTTTTCGAGACTTGACGCCATGGACAAAATTGTTTATCTTGATAAAATAAACAACTCTTCTGAAAAAGTCAAAACTCCACAGCCTACTGTTTTCGAGTTATACAGATGCAGTATACAGATAATACACAAATTATAGACCATAGCTACAAATCATCAACACTTCCATTCCTTGAAATGTGCCATATCACTAACACCAACCACACAGTTAACAAACGAACAGACATTGACCGACTTAGTACGACACCCGCAGCAGTATTGCACAAAATTAAGAATACAGATAAACGCAACAAAACCAGAAGAGAGCAATCGACCACAAATGAGAGATAGGTTTTTAAAATAGGGCATTTCGGCTACCAAACAAAATGGGTTTCATAATAGGGGGTTGCCAAAAACAATATTGCGCCAGTCGATACAGTCGATGCTCCACCAATGACATAATGAACAAATTGTGTTTTTAGGGACACTCTAATTCAGTGGTTTTCAACCTTACCAACCAGACTTACCCCGCACTGTTATAAGTTCGTACGTCAATTTGTGTAATGAACAGTAATTATCAAAATAACCTATTCAAACCACACAATGTCTATTCAAAACTGTCTAGACACGGACTCATGGGGAAAATAACCAAATTAGCTTTCTATTATTTTAAAATAGTCTTAATGCTAACCCTCAGTTCCCCTATCGATATGGGCTGGAAACAACGGCTTTACTTCTTCTCCGATGGAAAACGTAACCAGTAATGTTTCGCCTCAGAAAATCTCAACAACCTTAGCCCAGATTTAACTCACGCTTACCACTCATCAACTGTAATTGTAATTCATACAAAACCGTATAGATAACATCTCATACATCCTTCTACTACGGTGATGAAATGATCTTTCATCACATTATGACTGTTTGAGATGTTTTTGTAACTCAACCCGAAGCAATACAAAAAAAATGATCAATTGCCATAAATACTAAAATTATTAAGCTAGTCAGACCAGCACAACAAGTTGTATTTAACCTGTAATATCTTGAAACAAGTGAAGTAGCAGCCATTTAACGGTAATAATATCAAAACTGAGAGCAAATCTTCCTGTGACATCAAATTAAAAACTAATTCTGCTATCAGTGAGAGCAAACTGAAAACTCAATTTGATGCACCGTAAAACGGGATATCTCTGGTAATGCGGGTAACTTTGATAGTAGAATATAATGATTAAATTTACCCTCTGCACTAACTTAGAATTGAAAACATTGGTTTCATTTTGTAGGTTTGTTAACGTATAGAGTTTTTATACAGCATGTTTTACACATTTTCCAAATATCAGAAAATCAATAATTCTTGTTTTTCGCCTGATTGAAAGGGAACTCAAACAATCACTTACAAAATGTATTTACGATATAGCCAACACAAATTCAATGTTCTTTTCTTATTGCTTACGATATTTCTGAATAAATACTCATTCAAAATTTCAAATTGTTTGAAATTCACGCATGTTTTTCTACATTCATCGAGATTATCAAAGTAACCCCAATGCAAAAATTGAAACAAATTCTATAATTTTCGTTATAAACGAATTGACTCTAGGATCCTCAGTACTTGTTTTAAATAAAAATAATATTTGAAAAGCATCAATTTTTGTAGAAAATATTTCGAATATACTTCAAAACACTATCAAAGTTGCCCCGTTTTACGGTACCGTACGGTCCCATAGTAATATGTTTAACGGAAATCAATTGCATTTGCATATTTTTCTAAGTCTTGTGACAGAATGTCAATATTTTAGGTTTCTTTGATAATGCTCGATAAATGTAGAAAAACACCCGTGAATCTCAAATAATTTAGTCCAACATATATGAAACTTTGAATGAGTATATAATCAGGCAACATCTTATTGCTTTTTTTAAGATATTTAATTTGTGATGGATGTATTGGAAAATTTTTTTATTTTTTTTATTATTTATTATAGTCACTTTAACGCTCTTGGGTCATTCGTGACTTGTCCGGGGGTGAGATTTGAACTCGTGACTTTGGCGTGAGAGATATGGATGCTAACCACTACGCCGGGGTCACCCCCAGTATTGGAAATACATTTAAAAAGTGGTTGTTTGAGAATCCTTTAAATTATGTGAAAAACAAGGAATACTATATATGTACAATATTAAAACTCTATACGATATCAAAGGAAACAAACTATTCTACAAAATAAAACCAACGTTTCAAATTCGGAAATAGTGAGGATATTAAATTTAATCATTATATTATACTATGAAAGCTATCCGCATAATTAAAAGATACCCATTTACCTCCATTTACCTTTCCTGTTCATAATAAAACGAATATTCAATTTGATGTTCTGATAAGGCAATGAAAACAATTCTGCAACAACATATGTTTGAAGAGCAAATGTACTGCAAAATTAAAACACAATTGTTTATCAAATTTGTCAATCGCGTAAACTGAAATCAAATTATGTTATCAGTGTGATGTTGATATCAAAATGTGATTTCAATTTGCTCTCATTTTGATGCTGGACTTTGTTCAGGAGCTGCTACACCCATTTTGAGACAACTGTACTGTCACCCAAGAGACCTTGCACATTTTAAAGAATTCTCAAATCCTAAATCGCATGAGCATGAAAAAGCCAAGATTGTAACTTAAACAGTGCCGACGTTTATGATCATATCAATGTGATACGTGTAAAATAATCCAACTAATGAATGCTCCAAATACCTAGAAGAAATCTCGCCCAAACTGGAATTTATTGCTGATGACTCAAACTGAGAATGCAGCAACCACATCAATGAATTCCACGCCACTCCCAATCGACCAGATTAAGTACCTATATCCCGACGCACGTCCGATATCACTTTATTGATTTACAACCCACATACCCCTGAAAAAATTCCAACTACCGAGTTCCACCATGGAATATGTATCCTGAATCATTGTCTTGTGTTCAATTTGGCAATGATAACGTGACACTTAATAGATACCCCAGAATAGGATCATAAACTTGCGATTGGCTACACTAATTCGCTATAAAATCAGCTGTTGTGTATTTGCGCGGCTCAGTAAGAATTCGTAGGTCAATTTGAAGTCAAGTAGAGGAAAGATGAGCAAAATTTTACTTCTGATTTGTTTGGTTGGCTATGTCGCCGCTGGTGAGATCGTCGTTGATTCCAGAGCACTGCTCGCGCTGAAGAAACGATCCGATATAGATTTATTTTCACTTCGGTGGTGTGATATTTTCTATCAGGAAGATTTCCCCACGAACTCAGTGTGCAGCGGAAAAGAAGATGGAGTTTGGGATTACTTCCCGTCGTGTTGCAACGGGGCATACAACTGTCGCTTTGGTTCCATATGGAATGTATATCTGTGTCCTGCGGGTTTTATATTTAATGCGGCTAAGGAAGTTTGTGAAGATTTCACTGAGAACACGTGTCCCTATTTGGAAGATGGAACTGGAGAAGATGATATGTCTACCACCGAATCTACGACGACGCAGGAACCAGTAGTCAACTGTAACATTGTAGTGAATGGACGTATTCCACATCCAAGTAATTGCACTAAATTTATCAATTGCATCAATGGCAGTGCCTATGTTCGCGACTGCCTGGAAGGATACATTTACTACGCACCATTCGCTGTGTGTCTACCTGGACTAAAAGAAACCTGCAAGCTGCATTCGATAGATGATTTAGATTAGCTGTGATTGCCCATCCTATCTTAACTAATATAATTTGTAATTGAACTGCAATTTCCTGTAATAAAGTCCTAAAATGTAATCACCCATTCAATCAATATCTGACGTCAATGAACCGTCGGCCAATTATCTTTTCCTTTATTTAACGTCGGTCTCTGTTCCGCAATCTAGTGCCAATCACCGACGAACATCGATTGCCATCCATTGATGGCAATCGAATGTGCAGGAAGGCAGCTTCCACACCTGCGTAGGATATCGCACCCATTCAACACACATGGGCCGGGACCAACGGCTTTACTTCCCTTCCGAAGGAAGACGTGACCAGAGATTTTTATGCCTCAGAAAAATCCCACCGACCTCGGCTGGGATTGAACCCAGACCCATCGGGGTGTTAGAAAGCAGTCACGCTTACCACTACACCACCGGCGCCGGCCTCGGCCCATTATGAAAACTAAGAGACAAAAATATAGCACCCTCAAAGCTCGTCGCCAACTATACCACCAACAATGAACAACTCTGCTGGTTCCACGACCCAATTAACCTAACGAACCTTCGAACCGACAACAAACACCATCTGCTCTGTACGGCTCTCTGCCACGCCGGGCATGTTTCGATTTGACATCGATTAAATAATTTACCACCTTATCAAAGCTTTGGGGCATGCTGTTGAATTTATCAGCTGAACCTACACAAGCTTAAAGCCCCAAACAACAAAAACAGACTATCACCGCGATATAAATTCGCCAAAGCTGATTTCCGACCGCCCGTTGTCATCTCGTCGTCTGCTCCGGGAATGTTGATAAATTTTTAATGATCAATGCTATCGTTATTATTATAATCAACACAATAAGCCCTAGTTTGTACGTATCTTCGTCCGTCCCCGTGTTTCCTGATTATCGCATACATTCAGAGAGCATTGGATAATGCTGGCGATAGCGAACAAATCTGTTCCCACTGTACAGCGACGAATCGAAGCGAGACAGCATAAGCTCTCGTCGATATGCGATAACCTTTATGTTCACGTTCCGAACCGAGCGGAGCATGAGATCGCCAGCGTGGTGGACGATGGGTATTGTAAGCGCCAGCAGGATGGACTGAGTAGAGCGAACGGTTGCGTGCACCGACAGGGGGCATATTTGAAGCGGAAAATCCAATGTTTCACCCGGAATAGTGGTCCATGTCTCTCAAAGCTAAAGGTCACTAGTTCACAGTCACGAATGCCCTCAAATACGATTAAGTGAATTTAATACAAATGCACGAAATTGAATTATTTCATCTATTTATTATCATTTACTTTTAGAAAACCCAAGTAACCAACAAGCCCGCTAATCGCTCTTTTTGCCTTATAAGGCTGATGTACGACTGATATGAAGTTCGGAAACCTTAAAAAGGGCGATTATCGGGTAGTTTGCGGGCTTGGTGGTTACTAGAGGGGGACACAAAGCAAAACATTATTAGTAATAATTTATTACATTCAATGTTTTTTGACGTAGAACTACGTTTTTGCCGACTATATTGAGGTGCAAAACAATATGTGTGGTGAAATAGTGTAAGGTTTTGAACGCTTGTAGCTTCGTCATGTATAGTAGAAATAAAAAACCAAATACGCCAATCGATAGGATATTACTTTACAAATCTGCTAAAATAAATGCTTTTCAAATTTTCTATAAAAAAAACCTTTAGAAAAATGTACAAATAATAATTTTATGACTGTTTTCATGAAATAAACGTCTTCCGCAAACCCAGTCGTCATAATCGAGTACCCCTTAGTTGCTCATCGTTCTGCTTGAACCTGAAAGGATGTAAAACAGCAAAAAATTCCTAGACCGGACCGGAAATCGAACCCGGCCACTTCCAGCATGGTCTTGCTTTGTAGCTGCGCCTTTACCGACTGAGCTAAGGAAGGTACCACTCCACATTTTTCGATCTTTAATTTTCTTGCATTGAACCGCAGCTCGGTATATCTCATCTTCCGTTCATGTGGTCTCCACTAACATCATGCGATGATAAATCCCACATAATTGTAAGCAAATCAAACATCTCCTGTTTGGGTGCATATATCAAGGAGGGTCGAGCAGGGTCGTTTGTTCATTACCCATAGAATTGCTCTATATTTTCCAACATTTTTTTTTTTTACTTTAAAGTTTAACCACTTTTGATCCTCCTAACCACTTACACACACCGTTATATTGCGATTAAAAAGGTAAATTCGCACTGAACTGTACTAGACAAAAAACTTATTTCTTATTTAAGGTTTGAATTTAGAATGATACATTCTCAATAAATAAAAATGTTTATGATAAGTATAAAAATATATGTATGTGTATACAATCCAACTTCCAGTGTCGGGCAGTGTTTTTATGGAAGAATTTTTTTTGCAATATAATCTATTATTATCTTATACTGATCCCATTGCAAACAATTTTAGCCCGGAAGTTTAAAGGTGATAGCTCTGTTGAGATTCAGTAACCCATTTTAGAATGCCAGGTCACTCACGTCTATTCCGAGGTTACTTTCACGTACAACAAGCCCCACATACATGTAGTACCGATATAAAATGTAAATTAGGGTGTTTCATTCTGGAAAAAGATTGATATTTTTGATAGGCCACCCCCTCAGTTCATAACACAAAAACAAACATCTGTGCTAAGAATCAGCTAAATTGGTCAACGTTAAGAGGTCGCGCCAACGATTTCAATTTTGTTCGGGATCTTCATCAAATTAGTATGAGAGAAAATGATGACCCACTAAAATCATTCTAACTTTTTTCATAATGAACCGATTTACATTAAATTAAAATATTTTATACTTAAAACTATAATGAACAACTTCGACGCATGTGATGGCGGTAAGAGTCTGAAGGAACCAGAAATCAAGGAGAGGGCTGGAAAACGTATCAATCAAACAGCAACTATCAATCCATACTCTGAAGTGTACAACGAAAAGTTAAGGTTTATTGAATGTGTAGGATAAACTTTATCGAGTGTTTTAAAACACAGGCGACGATCGATGTCGTATCGTAGAGCGAGATTGTGCGCGATGAAAAAAGAAGAGCTGCAGTATTTCTCGGTTATTCGGAAGTGTTCCACCGGTGAACCTGGTAATGGGTTGACCAATCAACCGCTTCTCCATATCACTTCTCAACTCCATGGCACTATTGTATGCAGAGATGACAGCACAATATGTTTATAAACATTCAGGTAAAAAAAATATCTTGCAAAGCATACTATGAAATATGCCCTATCAGCATACCTGCTTTTCTGCTCAAATCAAGGTTTATCTGCAATCTGAGTTCCGAAAACCAATTTCTGTTTTTAAGCATCAAATCGACTTGCAGTCTTCAACAAAGTTGTTCATTATAGTTTTAAGTATAACATATTTTAATTTCATTCAAATCGGTTCATTAGGAAAAAAATATAGAATGATTTTAATGGGTCATCATCTTTTCCTCCCATTCTAATTTGACGAAAATCCCGAACAAAATTGAAATCGTTGGCGCGACCTCTTAACGTTGACCAATTTAGCTGATTCTTTGCACAGATGTTTGTTTTGTGTTATGAACTGAACTAGGGGGTGGCTTATCAAAAATATCAATCTTTTTCCAGAATGAAACACCCTAATGTATATTGTTACTGCGTCAGGAAGTAAGTCACTCTGCCACATTGTGCTAACACCCACATAAACACACTTCAAACACCGTTCCACCGCATGATAAGCAAATGTTTTAATCAATTCTGGCACCACTGCTAAGACATCTTACCGTCCTGTAATAGCCGGGATACGTAAACATTCTAGATCTTGATTGAAAACCTCCAATCCGAAAAAGAGGAAGTCCGGAACCGGTTGAGATCCAAGAATGCAGCAGCATCAGGAGGAACAGATACTAAAAACGGGAAGATGTCTTGTCAAAAACCAAGAACGGAACAGTTTCTGATTTCTGAATGTCAGTTAAGTAGGTTCTCACCCAATCACGACATATTGCATTTGCCCTTGGAGGTGTAACTATGGCTGACGACCAGAATTCTATCTTCTACTGCGGGTAGGATTGCTCCCATTGCTTTTGGTCCTCCTTTCCGGATGGCACGTGGCCATTCGTCTTCCTTCTGCAGTGAAGTGTCATATTCGTATACGTTACTTAAATACTTCCACAGTACTTTTTTGCATTAGGCAAACAACAGCGAATGATTAATTTTCAGCGTTTTGTTATGGTCGAGGATATGGTTGCCAGTAAGAATATTTTTTCGGTTGTAATTTTGACAGCTCGGTCAACGCGGAGAAACACCCAGAAACGCATTCCGACACACAAAAACACACATGAAACACAATAAGCACAGACACAAGGTGGCAGAGTGTCTTACCCCCTGTACTGCGTGTACACTTCCATCATCAAAGAAATTCCTACTTTGTAGATGGCACGTATTTAGGGTAAACGATCCTATAGTTGCGGTACGTAAGAAGCGTTAGGTTCCTATAGTTGTGTATTGAGTCTCCATACACAACTATAGGAACCTAACGCTTCTAACGTACCGCAACTATAGGAGCGTCTACCCTAGTAGGATGCATTTCATAATTTTATATCTAGTTGTAATCAGTTAGATCTCATCGCTTATGTATTGCGTCCTTGCTGCTGAATCTTTGTCATATCGATTCTCGTTGAGTCCTGTTGAATAATCGGCATCTGTAGTGGAATACTCTTCTCTCTCTCTCTATCTCTATCACTTTTCGATGTTTTTCGTATCTCTTCTAAAAAAACACACTGAATAAGTGTAGCCAAAACCGAGTCTATACCACGCAAAATTCACTATGACTCGCGAACTTTTCCCTTGGTGAACTTAGTGAAATATCGCGAACCCCTCCAACACTAATGATAAGTATAAAAATGTACTTCGATATTACATTTTATATTTATAATAGTTTAACATTTAACCAATTTTCATTTAACATGTGTTATATGTATGTATGTAAGGTAGCCACCATCCCTTCAAAGATCTTGTCTTGTGTGCAGCTCCACTTAGTAGCAAGATCAATTTGAGCTACCGATCTGAATTCACAATATCGCTGTATAAAGGACCAAAAACGGAGGTGTGGACCCGT